GTAGTCCTTGCATAACAATATTGTTTTCTCATTCCCGATCGCCGAGTTTCTCCTGAAATAAGAAAAGTATTTTGCCGTATTGGGATGGGAAGCGAGTCTATACAAATCAACCATTGCATTGTCATAGCCCTGCTCGGCAAAAGAAGGAAGCGTAAAATAGTATTGTGAAGGTGTACAGAAAATGCCCGCCCTGATCCCGATGATACCATTGGCAACTATACTCCATTGCACATGGCTGTTCGACATAGGCTCTATCTTGCCGCTTTTATTATAGCGCAGATCGGTATATGTTTTGGTATAAGCGCCATATGCCTGAGGCAGGGCAGCAACATATTCATTGTAGAGACCTATTTTTTCGGTCACCATCTTTTTCGCATCACCCAGCCCTCCTTTTGGTATATAGCTTGCCTGCATCCAGTTGACAAAAGAATCACACAGGGACAGTTGAGCTGCAGAGTACAATTTATCATCAACCTTTTTTGACTCTTTTGCCCCAGTATAATGATAAACTTTCATCCACCCCAGCACACTATCCTCGATAGAAGAAGCTGGAACAGGCTGAGTCATTCCCTGGATGACCGGGCAGACAAAAAGATAGAAAAGGATGATATGTTTCATACCGTATTATTTAGAACTTACGACAGTATCCTCACTTCAAATCACCACCCAATATATTCGTAACATTGGCTACTTGTCTTATTACACGTCCAAGTATCGGTGAGGTGACAGTTGTTTTGTACAGGTCAGCTCTGGCATAGATAGTTTTATCATCCGCGTCCATGCCTATTTTTAGGATGTCGAATTGGTAAGCCTGTTGTAAAAGGTACTCGTATCTTTCGGCGCCCAGCTTCCCGGGCCAAAGGTCACTAAGGTTGACAAAAACGATGATCAGGTCACCCGCTTTATGAACGACCACCTGGTAATTTGGCACATTCTCCCCTTCATACGGTATAACAGCCAGGCTGTCATTGATCATTTTATAAGGAAGTTTTGTGCCCGCCACCATCTTTTCAAATGCAGCTACAACGGGTTTTACCGGTCCTTTCGGTTTTGACTGTGAAAAGGCAAAATTTCCGAAGCAAAGGATAAGCAATACGATAAAAATACTCTTCATGATGATGTGTTTTGGTGCATGTATGTCGAAATGAGTATACAAAGTCGTGTAAAATTTAGTTCTGCTGAAATTTATCCATTTGCGAGTTTTGCAGACATCGCGGTTCATTTTATTGTGAAGCCCCGGTTAGCGAAGGAGGGGTGATAGCTTCTCCAAAATATAGCTGGGTGGATTTTTTATCCAATAGAAAATAAGCGACAAGATAACGTCCTTCCTTTTGCAGCCATACAAATTTGTCATCGCTTTCTATAGGAATGATCTGCCAACCAAGCGCTGATAGTTGGGTAACGAGTGAGTCGGCGTTGAACCCTGATACCGACTCAGCAGGTAGGTAAAGCACTTCCATATTTTTTAATTTGCTGTTAGCTTTTTTGCTTTCTGTTTCCAGCAATATTTTTGCAGTTTCCTCCATCAATAATCTTTTGTCCTGTTTGGTGCCGGAGGGTAATATAACCCCTGTCAGTTCCGACTGGGACACCGGCACGAGTTTTTTTTGTGCGAAGACAAACGATCCTGAA